ATAGCTTATATTCATTCTTCCTGTAAAATGTTAATAGACACATACCCGAGGCAATACAATAAATTTAAAACACTGGTTGTTGTCCATAACTTTTATAATTTTTCTCTATGCTAATGAAAGGATGGTTTTAGGATTACTTTAGCATAGATTTTGTTCTTGTAGCAAATTTTATGTAGTTGTTGCATTCTAACATGGTTCAAGGCATAGGTAACTTGCAACAAAAGATAAGTGAATAAACTTTTGATACTCACAGTTCTTTCTTTTATGAAGAATGAGCTAGATCTTCTTTGTGTAAAGTTATTGGAGTTTATCACATGCCTTGATTCATCTTTGATGTGAATTTATCTCTTGACTTACCCCGATTGAATTTGAGAGTTCCCTATAGGGGAGTCCAACAAAAATAACCAATGTCCACTAAAGCAATTTTTAGTTCAATAACCAAACTAGACTCCATGTCTAATTTGATTAAGAAAGACAATTTAACCTAAGCACCACGTTTAATTTAAAAAGCCTTTAGAAATATGTCCAGTACTTCCAAACAAAAACTTACTAAAGCAGACAAAAGGTAGCATGAAAGCACTATATAGATGTACTTAAATGGAGATGAAAGAGCATGATCACGGTAATGAATTTTTGTTTTTTTACTAATCATGAGCCTTCATGTGCTCATATTTTTTTCTTTTTTTATAAAGATGCAAGTGGGATGGATATATGAAAGGAACTAAACATGATGTGGATTTGATATGAGAAAATTTTAAACTAAATGGAATGGATGCATGGATTATTCCAAGTAAACATGCAGTGGAATACAAGAAATTAAAAGATAACTACTCATCAAGTTTAGAGTCCATGAGTAAGATTTTTCTCACCTTTCTTGATCATACTTACCATGACTCACATGATGGAATTTGTGAGTAGTGCAGCATTTGTATTCATCACTTGAGATGTGATTTGAATTCTTGTAACGTCGATCTTTTTTCTCCAATCTACACATGGTTAGAATAATATATATATATATATGTATGTATGTATATGTATATATATATATATATTTATATATATATATATGCAAACCTGTGAGATGGCAGGGTTCCAATGTTGATGGATCTTGAATGTTCAGGCACCCTAGGGTTCTTCAATGTTTCTTCTTTTCTTGTGCAAGCTTGCCGAAAGGTCGAAACAACGTTTGTTGTCCTATCTTATTCCACAATTCAACAGAATATGGGTAATCCTACTAAAGCTAGTGGCATGTTAATGACCTAAATCTTTAAGCCGACTGTTTTCCCAGCAACGGCACCAAAATGCTTGCTGGTACTTATTAACGCAAATATAATATGAAGGATTCCGCAAGCGCAAAGAATATCATTGTAGTATTTTACCAGGAGTATTTCAGGTATCGTTGTTTATATTTTACCATAGGAAAACAAATAGAGTAAAGATTTATTGGATAACAAAAGAATGTCTACTAATCAATATACCAGCATAGCTAAAGCAGGAGTGAATGTAATGATAGGAATAAAGCATAATAACACTCAGGAGATAGATCACTAAGATAATGTAAACTAATCAACTCAGGAGAACAAAGGGTGAGGTTGATTCCTATGATATTCTTGTTACAGGATAAAAGTATATATATATATCAAAGTATATATATATATATCTGACTATAGCTAAGACTAACTCTACTCTTGTGCACTTCGGGACGCCGCTTAGACAGTAGAGTGCCGTAAAAGGATAACTCTACTGACGTGACTATGATCCTACAATTTAAGAACCAGCTTAATTCGGTATGGACTGTGAAGGATAGATGGGGTTGTCACCTCCCACTGCTACCACACAACCAGAGAACAGGGTGTACTCACAGGCGGAGCATCGTATAAGCACAATGCTTACACGCGCGCTTGGCTACTCAGCCCAACCATGGTAAACTAGCAGGCTAAGCGCTCTATGAACCCGCACACAATAGTAATGATAACCTCAACTAAGCAAGATACATATTAAAAGTAAGCATAGCCATGTAGATAAGAATATAATAAATTGGTAAGTCTTACAAGATATAGAAGTGAAGATACAAGGCTTTGCCGAGCCTCCAAAACTAGATCTAGAACTTGAGCATGAGCCCAACTCAACTCTCACTCTCGAGCCATTAATCTACTACATTGGAGAGTCCTAGACCTAATCCTCCTGGTGTGTGTTGATCTGAATGAGAGATATGAATTAGGGCTTCCTAGATGGCTTCAGAGAGGGGGGTAGGGGCTGCTATATATAGGGGGTAGCGTCAATTCTGGACCATCGGATGAAACCGACTTAAAAGGACAACGTAGATGTAATCTTGGAGGCAATGGAGAACCGACATACAAAGGAGAGCCTGATAGGTGGGGCCCATAGGCCGGCTAGCCTAGGGGTGGGGCCAGCCAGCCCCCTATCAATGTCTCGGCTCGATCTTCGGTGGGTTGCCTTCTGGATGGTTCTAGAGTCTTCTATTATCGGTTTCGTAGCGGATATACATGATTTGCTCTGACGAATAGGTCCACCTTGTCGGTTTTCTAGTTAAATCCTCCTACAAACATATATTCACCAAAACTTATGAAATTTATTAGTCTAAACCCCTAGACCTATGTTTGGTGATGGAATTAAGTACAAATGCAGGATATGTTAATGATTTATGATTAATGTTAACGACATGGTTGTGGCCCACGTCTTAGTGCATGATAGAAGTAAAATGAGGGGGTACAAATGTCTTTTGTCAAGAGAAACCAAACTTTAGACCACTTTATCTTAGATTTATGGTCTAATGCTCTAATGGGGCCAAATTTTAGGAGGAGGGGCTAAATTTAGATCTAACTTTAGACCACTCTAGATTTTAACTATCATGTTATTTTGTTCGTTCACCAGTAATGTAAATGTAAATGAAATTAGATCAAATTGTCTATCTTGCCATAACATCCGCAGTTTAATTCATTTCTATTTGTGTTTCTAACCTGACCACCAAACAGCTCATTTATTTAGCGATAATGCTGGCACACGGGCGTCCGTCCAGGCATGTTTCCATTCGGATGGCTCGCTCCCGGGCCTATCCAATGATTCGGGCCTGACAAGCCTCGTCCGCTCCACCTTCAGTACGACGCGGTTTCTCAAAAAATAAAAACACAACGATATTTTTTTTCCCCACTGCCACACGCATGCGACCACCATGGGCGCATCCACCGCGCCGCCCGCCCGCCCGCCGCTGGCCTTCTCCAACCGCGACCTTGTTGTCCGGACGCCGTGCACCCACTACACCTCGCTGCTGTTGCGCACTCATCCCGTGCTGCTCGCTCGCGCCCGTCGCGCTCGCCCATCCCGCCTTGGCTCGTTCCCACGCCGTTGCACGCGCCGCCCGCTTGACGCAGCCAAGCCCGCTGCTGCTAAGCGGTGGTGGTGGTGCTCACGCGGCACCGACTCCGACCCCAACCGCTAGAATCGTCTGGTCCCGGGCTCCCTCATGTTGCAAGCGCATGTTTCAAGTATTTCAAATGTTTCGTAGGTATGTTTTAAGTGTTTCATGCGGATGTTGCAAAAGTAGATTAGGATGTTGCATATGTTGCAATGATTGTACACTTATGTTGCAAGTGTCTATTCCAATATTTCATCTGTTTTTTTACGTATGTTGTAAGTGTGTTTATCTGTATGTTGCATATGTTTAACACATATGTTGCAAGTGTTTTTCTCGAATGTTGCATATGTTTGTAATTGTTTTCAAGTGTTTTCATGTATTTTTGCATGTGTTTCCGGCGCATGTTTCGAATGTTTTAGCTGTTTTGTATGTATGTTGTAATTTATTTTATTTGGATGTTTTAAAAATAAATTGAAGGTGTTATGTATATTGCAATATGAGCCATCTGCCGCAGCTTAGTGCTGTAGTGCTCATTTAGTGGCTAAAGATTAGAGCAGGGATCAAACATGCCTTGCTCCTTATCTCCGTGGCATGTGAACCTTAGAGACACAGAACACATACAAGGTCTTTCCACGAGGTTTATCAAAAAAAAGGTCTTTCCACGAGGCAAGAAAAAGAGCCGGGCGTTGTGACAACTGAGTAACTGAATACCTTTTTTTTTCTCACCCATTCACCGCCTCGCCCCTCCAGCCCTAGGTAATCACTATTAGCTTCCCTTTTCCCCACGCGGCGGCGCGGCGAGGCCACCGACCGGCCGGCGGTTGCTGCCTCTTCTTCTCCCGGCACCCCTGCCCCGGCCCGCCATCCTGCCCCACCGTCCCCCTCCGCCAACCGCGCTCCCCCGCCCACCGAATCCCAGCGCGCCGCCCAGTCGAGCGAGGATTGTTCTTCGATCGCAGCCGCCAAGCTGGTGCTGGGTCGGTGTTGAGCGGAGCGGGAATCGGAACGGAATCGAGTCGAATTCGTCCTCACCTTCTCGTCGTTGCTGGTAAGGAAGCCCTAACGTTGCTTGCTCGGATTGAAATTGTATTCCCTGTTCTACTAAGGCTTCTGCGGTTCCGCCCTTGAATTTTCGGTAGATTCGAGCAATCCAACCAGAAATTCCCGTAATTCCTTGTTGGGATGGGTTATCCGACCCATCGAGCCCCACTAGCTGCAGGTTTGGTTCTTGATTTTCAATACATGAATTTCTGACTCTTGCTGTCAATCTGCCTGAACGCGCAAGTGAACAGAACGCCTGCATTTTTCTTATCGCACTTGTTGCCTTATCCCCAAATTCCATTAGTGTTCGGTTTAAAGATGTGGCCTACCACATACACTTCCACACACTTCCCTTAAACCTTTCCTGCAATTTGGTTTGTGCAATATTATGTGGGGAAAACCTGAAATATCATTATACTGCAGTCTCGTATGTCCAGGATTGTTGTTTAGGCCCTTTTGCTGTTTCGTAGGTTGGAGCACTAAAATGTTGTATATCTATCACTATGTTCGCTTGCAGAATCGCTCACTTTGCATGTCACAACTTTATGTTGCTGATGCCAGCCAATGTGTGTTATTGGTGCAGATGCCAGAAGCCGAGTGGAACGACGAACGCACTAGGCTTGTCTGTGAACTCTTTGAAGAACAAGTTCGGGCTGGGAACAGGCCAAACACGCATCTGAACAACATTGGTTACCGCCAAGTTGCGGCTAAGTTTCAGCAGAGGACACAGCTTCTCTATACAAAATTGCAGCTTAAGAACAAATGGGACAAGTTTAAGAATGACTACATCACTTGGAAGAAGTTGCTTGTAGTGGGGAAGGGTTTACCCTGGGACACAGCGAAGGGGACATTTGATGTTGCGGACGAAGAATGGTGGAAGAAGATCAATAAGGTTTGTTATGCGTAAATTAAACCTGTTCCTTATTTTTTACTGTTTGGTCGCGTGACGCCCTTTCCTTTTCAATTTCTGGTAGGAGCTGCCGGGTGCAAGGAAATTTCGACATGGTGGTCTACTACATGAGGATAAGTTGAAAGTAATGTTCGATTACATCACCAGTAATGGTGTGGATCCTTCACCACCTGCTCCAGAAAGCCCGAAGAATGGGGTGGATCATTCGCCACCGGCCGCAACTGGTTTGCCATCTGCTCCAGACTGCCCCCTCAATGGAGCGGAGCATTCGCCAGTGACTGCACATGGGTTGCCATCTGGTGCAGACAGCCACATGAATGGCACAGATCATTTGCCACATGTTCAAGAAATCCCCATGAATGGTGTGAACCTCAATGGATCAGACAACAGCACTGAAGATAATCTTGACACTCATCAAGAGCCTGTGTTTCAGTATCCATCAAACAGGAAGAAGATACCGATTCGTTTCAGTGCTGCAAAGAAGAAGAAAAACAAGTCCGAAACTGCTCTGCTCATGCAAGCTCATTTGTACCGCATAGCTGAGCTGGCTCAGAAAGCACAGGACACTTTCGAAAAGTTCAGCTCCCAAGCTGACTCGGCGCCATGGCCTAGCATCCAGGATGTTATGACACTGGTCCGGGAGTGCGGAGCACGGTGTGGGAGCAATGAGCATTTCATCGCAACTGAACTGTTTGTCAGTAGAGAACAGAGGGAGATGTTCCTGACCATGGAAACGGCCGAGGAACGGTTCCAGTGGCTTAGAAGAAAGTACATCGTCAAGTATTTGTCAGGTACTGCAGGTACAAGTCTGGGTACTAGATAAAGTGATCCTTGGCGTTTTGCATTAGGGTTTCTCCTAGTCTTTTAGTCTTTAATACCCAACATGACACATTTTGTATTGGATCCTGATATAGCATGCTTTGCATCCTGACAAGTATGGTTGTATGAATGTGTAGCTATCCTCTGGTTTCTCCTGTTCCTGTGTAGCAATTATCTTTCGGACGCAAGGAGGGTGAGATAATCCAATATATAATTTCTGGTATAACGGTGGATCTAATGCGCTGTGACTCTTCTTTGTAGCCCTTTTGATGACCCTAATGCGCTGCCTCTGATTTCTTCCTGTAATGGGCACATATGTTTTTGGGCCTGTGAGAATTCAACGGAGAAATTAGGCCCATATGCACTTCGTTCAAACAAATTGGGCCCACATCTAGTTGCGGAGAGAAAACCGCGCCGAAGGAAAGGGCCAAAGGGCAAAACGTTATCCATCCTATCTCGACACGGCACACCGCTCGCTCCTTTTTGCGTGCCTACGCCACCGTCGGCGCCGGATGGGGAGGCATCGTCTTATGCAACGGGATAGTTAACTTGAGCTCCGTGCTGATGACTGCAAGTTCTTTTTTGGTGCGCTGGTGGATCTTTCCTGGTCTTGCTCATGCTGCATAACTCACTTATAGCTCGAACTATCAATCAACTATTTGATAGATCAATTTGGTGAATGCTATCAATGAACTATTTGAGAGATCAATTTGGTGAATGTTTGGCTGTTATGTATGATGTTAATGAATACTGACCAATATTTTTGTATAATGTCAAATTATGATAATTGTACGACTGCCATGTGAATTGTATTAATTTTGAGAAAATTGGCATGGCCCACGTGTGCTTCAAATTGGGTTTGGCGAAATTGTGTCTCTCAATTAGCTTGGCACAGATTCGGGTCCACTCAAAACAGAATGGGCACCAAAATTGCTGTGGACCAAATGTGACAGCGATTGATTGGGCTCAAATTGAAACAGGCTTTATATGGGTTAAGCCTAATTACCTAGTGTAAAAACAGCCCACGTTATATGGGTCAACTAGACCAAATTCGTTGTTATGACGTTTATTTTTGTTAGAGTATTTGTGCCACGTAGCCCTATTCGCTTCGCTGAAAAGACAGGCTGAAAAGTATTATTCGTTGATTTATTGTGAGAAAAAAATATTGTATCATGGCTAATAAGCCAGGCTGATGAGTTCAAGCAATGTCAATGGACACATGCATGTGGACACGCTATCTGATATGCCATGACGCCTTTAGTGACAGATATTGTCATCAATAGCCGGAGCTTGGGTGGTGCGGCTTGCCGGCAAAGATGAGCGCGCAGTCTAATGTATGTTTCATGTTTGAATCTTCGATCACCCAAGCTCAAATCCGTGCGTGATGCCATCACCAATCGCAGTTGGGTGCACGACATCCAGGGCATGCTCACCATTGAGGCGTTATGCGAGTACATACATCACGGTCTGGGAAAAGGTTGACGCACTAAACCTACACCAAGACACATCCGACTGATTAATTTGGCGCTGGACCCCGGACGGCATGTACACAGTGTCGTCATCCTACTGAGTATTCTTCTACAGCATGACGACGTTGAGGGGAGCAAAGGAGCTATGGCAAGCGCGGGCGCCGCCAAAGTGCAAGTTCTTCTTTTAGCTGTTGCTGCATGACCGGCTCTGGACGGCGGCGAGGAGAAAACACCATGGCTTGCAAGATAGCGATGAATGTGCGCTATGCAGCCAAGATCCAGAATCAGCAGATCACCTGATTGCCGGTTGTGTCTTTGCTAGAGAAGTATGGTTCAGAGTCCTCGCGCCATTGGGCCTCGGTAACTTGGCACCCACCCCGGACACTTCAATCACCGATTGGTGGCTTCTCAGCAGGGCACAGTTGGGAGCGCAGCCAAGAAAAGGATTCGACAACCTCTTAACTTTGGGAGCATGGTGCCTATGGAAGGAACGAAATTGGAGAGTTTTTGATGGAGTAGGTCGGTTATACCCAGCGAGGCCACGTCAAAGATCATGGAGGAGGGCAATCTCTGTGTTCAGGCGGCACCTCGCCACGCTATGGGCGATGGCGATGACTTGACGTTCGGTGGACCTACATACTACCTCCGTCCCCGAAAAAATATAATTCTAGCAAAGTGTCATGTTTCAGTAGTTTAAATTTGACCAATTATAGATAAAAAATATCAATATTTATGATACCAAATAAATACCATTAGATTAATTATGAAATGTATTTTCATAATAAATTCATTTGGAGCCATAAATATGATAACATTAACTAGAAACGTAATCAAACATGTACCACTTTACGTGAAGAGGACTCTCCGAGGGAAACCTTGGTTGATCCACCCTACCCTACTATCTTGTGTCCACAGACTGCCACACACTACAAGGGGTATCTATTCTATTTTGTGGATAAGGATAATAATCAGCAATACCCTGATCCAAAGGGGTTACTCCGCTTCAGCCTCGTTGACGAAACATTTGGTGTCACTCCGTTGCCCCCCTGCCTATATGATATGGTCGAAGATGAAGGTGAAGAAGTTTATCTTAATGAGCTTGGCGGGGAGCTATGCGCTACTCTCTTTTTAAAGTGTATGCAACAAGTACTGATATTCATGACAAGTGATGCTCTGAATCCTGATTGGAGTTGTCGTTACGGAATAGATCTGCGAGACAGATTCTATCCATTGGCCTTGCTTGCCAGTGGTAGAATTCTTATGCGAGGAGGTAATCAGGTCATTGTTTGATATGGATGACATAAGGTACCTTGGACCCAATGAAGACATCTTGGGCCATGAATGGCCGGGAAATGTACGCTGGTTTGACATTGCTTCTTACACTGAAAGCCTTGTTCCAGTTACTCCTACGGCAAGCTTACGGGCCTTATAGTGTGTATGCTTGTCAACCTAGTCTGCTTGCCTCGGAGGAGGTATTAATTATCTGGACCTTCAGTGTATCAGTCCAGCGTTTCAATGAAGGAGTATGACCAAGATTGCAACTTTGCAAGTGAGCAGCAACCAGATGACCCTTAATCGACATGTTTCTGACCATCTTATCTCCATTTGTTTTAGAACCTCACAAGTTACAAGTGCTTGCTATGGTCTTGGATGTACTTGTAATATTGCATAGACTATGGCGGGTTTCAGATTATATTTCTATTTCTATTCTATGTGGAACTCATTCTGTTGGACATGTTACTTTGTTTAATTGTTTCGTTCGTTTGTTGGATTATTCTCTTTCTTGAAACGGTGCATGTGTTTCGCACGCCGACGTGGGGCCCGCACGCCCCAAACATCACCAGCATCGAGAAGAGAGGGAGGAAGTGGCAGATGCCCAATCGGCGTCGCGAGGAGGAGACACCGAGGTGAGGCAGCAAAAGGCGAGAAGGAAGATGCAACAACCAATCTACTTTCGAAACATTCAAATGCAACACTTACAACATACGTCTAAAGGCAAATGAAACTGAAACACTTGCAAAAACACTTGAAAACATTGCAAAAACATACGCAATATCCAAGATAAAACACTTGCAAACATATGTGTGAAACATATGACACATCCAGATAAACACACTTGCAACATACATCTGAAAAAAAATATTGAAAACAAAAGCTTGCAATATATGTGTACAACTGTTGCAACATATGCAATATCTCGATCTACTTTTATAATATCCATATAAAACACTTCCAACATGCATCTAAAAATCTGAAACACTTAAAACAAACGCTTGCATTATGCACTTTCAAGCGCAACATCTACTTGCTGCTTCGATGAATATAGAAGCTCGTCGACGAGCGGAGCTCGACGCCGACATGGAGCTTAATGCTATGGAGTTGCGCGGAATCGCCGATGTGGAGCTCGTCGGCGGCACGGACCTCGACAGGGGCGCGGCAGGCGGATGGAGCGTGGCCGCAACGGGAGGCGTGGAGGCTGTGGGATCGGCGCGGGGAGGTGAGATCCATCCATGGGTAGGGTCACAGCAGCAGGGCAGGCCGGGCAGGGGAGGGCGGATCCGCTCCAGAGAGAAGCGACATGCGTAGACGCTGCAGAGCGAGCGGGCGATGTGGACGAGGCCGACACGGGCGAGGTCCGTTCCGCGAGCGGGCGACTCAGACGTCAACGGACGACTGAATGGGAGCATTACCGATATAAGAATGATTTCTCTTTGATGGATTTAGACCCAGTCCAATGATTCCTCGTCAAAACTCAAAAGGAGGTTAGTTTCGATAAGACAAGGTCTGGGACTTGGGCCCCTGCATTAGAACTCCATACTCAACCGTCAACACACACAAAACTTATACGTAGTAGGGAAGGAGGTCAACAAGGTTTGTTATTCTTAAATCAAACTATTTCAGTTTTTTTCCCTGTCTGGGTGATTTTAGTCGCATGGCACCCTTTCATTTTCATTACTGGTATAGGAGGTGCCGGGTGCAAGGAGATATCGAAATGGCGGCGTACAACATGAGGATAATGTTCGACTAGATCACCAGTAATGGTGTGGATCCTTCACGTGTTCACCACCTGCTCCGGAAAAGCCCCAAGAATGGGATGGATCATTCGCCACCAGCCGTAACTGAATGTGTAGCTACAACGGGGTTTCTCCAAGTCTTTAAGGCTTTGATATTGATATTAATGTCCAAAATGACACATTTTGTACTGGATCCTGATATAGCATGCTTTGCATCCTGACAAGTATGGCTGTAAATGAATGTGTAGCAATTATCGTTCGGGGTGAAATAATAATCCTATGTAATTGCTGGTATAACTGTGGATTCACTGATTCTTGTTCGTAGCCCTCTTGATGAACCTTCTTGTAATGGGCCCATGTTTTTGGGCCCGTGAGGATTCACCGGAGAAATTGGGCCTATATTTACTTTGTTCAAGCAATTGGGCCCACATTTATTTTGGGGAGAAAAACCGCGCGAAGGGAGAGGCGAAAGGGGAAGCAAAGCGTTATCCATCCCGTCCAGACACACGGCACAAGCACAACCGCTCGCTCCCTTCTGCGCGACTGCGCCACCGCCGGCGCCGGCATTAGTAGTTTGCCGCGCGATGGACACGTGTGCCGCACGCCGCCTACTCCTCTTCTCGCTTTCCTCCACCCCGAAGGTCCCTCCGGCGCATCCTCTGCTCAGGCGGCGGCGCAGGGGCAGGGCGTGGCCCGGCATCGCTCGCTGCGCCGCTGAGGCTGGCGGCGGATGGGGAGGCATCGTCGAGGACGACCTTTCTGAGCTCCTGCAGGTCGTCGTCCGTCACCCCTGTTGGATCTGCCTTTTCCTTCCTAATCGTACAGACCTTGTATGTTATGCCGTGCTGTGCTAGTAGTAGTAGGTGGAGTTTTGGGAGTACTGAAAAACTTGTCCAAATTTGTAGAGAATTTTGGGCATCATATGAATTCCTATTTGTAGTTGATGTAATTATCTCTGCCTCTGCAGCTACAACTAGATCGATTGATCAAAGGGTATTAATCTTCCTTTTGCAGATTCTTCCGAGAGACTTGCGAGATAATCTGCAGAATGAACCTAGAAAGGACCAACTGCTGGAGGTGAAATAGATGTATCCTTTTTGTCTCCTTCAAGGCTTCAACCATTACAAGCCTCATTCTACTCAGAAATTCATCTGAAAATGTGGTGGTTTCATTTGTGATCCCAACTGATGAGTCATCAATTAGGTCATTCTGGATTTGGGGAGACGACCAGAGGCACGTTTCCTTGGTGACTCTGGTGGCCAATATCTACGGGACAGTGAGGTATGTGACAGCCATTCCAGTCTGAACTCTGAAATGCGTAATATTATGTTTGCAGTGATCGTACATACTTTCCTTGTCAATATTGTGGAACCCAATAGTACCTTGAAAAGAAAAGGTAGCAATACAGAGAGATCAGATATGATTACATTGTGGTGTGGTTAGTCTCATCTGTGGAACCCAATAGTACCTTGAAAAGAAAAGGTAGCAATACAGAGAGATCAGATATGATTACATTGTGGTGTGGTTAGTCTCATCGTCTTGTCTGTAGTGTAATATTAGAAATTATGTTAGTCTCAAGTCTTCTGCTGGTTGGCTGCTAATTTCTTTCTGCTCATGGATCTTTACAAATGTTTATACTTCACGACCATAGTAAGCCCCTCTTTCTTGATGAGTGCACAACATAATATTGTGAGTACATGCAAAACTGCAACTGTAATTTCCTGCTCTATGGATCTTTTATATCATAGATCTCACAGAAAGAGTTGGAGGATGCTCAGAAGGCTGTAGGAGAGTTTGGAGGTGACAACCGTGCAGGAATTGAAGGTACTTTACATAGGATATCTGCTATAAGGAGCAGGAAAGGAATGGTTGTTGGTTTGACCTGTCGAGTTGGCCGAGCTGTTACCGGGCATGTTGACATGGTCCGTGATCTCCTAAATTACAAAGAAAGTATTCTATTTTTGGGAAGGTACCTCCCCTTGTTCCTTGAATTTCACAATCTTGATTCCATCTCTTCATATATCTTTTTCAAATGGTATTTTATAAATATAAGCTAGTAGCTAAGTGTTATATGAATACGGACTACATGAAAAATGTTCTATTCAGGAATAGGTATGTGATAATAGGGCAACAGGAGTTGAACATTCTGAATTGCAAAGAGAGAGAGAGAGAGAGAGAGAGAGTTGAATATTCTGTTTTCACTTTGTTTTTCAAATAAATTTCAAAAGTTTATCCGTTCTTCAATATTTTTTTCTTTTCTTCAATCAGGCCTGGGGTAGGCAAGACTACTGTTATGCGTGAGATTGGACGTGTTTTAGCAGATGAATTTCAGAAAAGAGTGGTATGTTAAACAATATTACTTTCTAGTACCTTTCTATTTCTTAAGTTCAAAAAAAAAGTACCTTTCTATTTCCAGTTCAATGTACTTCTTGTACCTTATATATTCTTTTGGTACTGGTGTTTAGGGCAGGTAATTGTGGACACAAGTAATGAGATTGGTGGGGGGATGTTCCTCATGCTGCGATTGGTGGAGCAAGAAGAATGCAAGTACCTGAACCATCAATGCAACATAGGGTGATGATTGAAGCAGTTGAAAACCATATGCCTGAGGTTGTTATTGTAGATGAGATCGGAACTGAAGCAGAAGCACAAGCTTGTCGATCAATTGCAGAAAGGGGTGTTATGCTTATTGGCACTGCCCATGGAGAACGACTTGCAAACATCATTAAGAACCCAACCTTATCTGACTTGGTAATCCTGTCATTATGACATCATCACAATTTTGCTAATAAACAAAATAAAAAATCCACTATACCTGCATAATCTAAATATTGGTAAAAAATGGATCATTGAGATGAAAAAAAAGTGCTGTTATTCTACAAGGATATCCAAAGTTCTTTTGTTACTTTTGCTTATTGAGAAGAGTAGCTGTCAATATAATAGCATGACAGCTCCCATCTAAAATTTCTTGCATCTATTCCTAATTAGAGAGTCCATGTGTCAGACATTTACTGAAAAGTGATTAAGCTTAAAAGTAATATTATTTACACCAGTTCAGTGAAATTTCTTATCTTCTGGAAAACAGATTGGTGGTGTAGAAACTGTTACTCTTGGAGATGATGAGGCTCGTGCTCGACGAAGTCAGAAAAGTATTCTGGAGAGGAAAGCTCCTCCAACATTCCCTTTCCTTATTGAGATGAGGGAGCGACATTACTGGGTAACACATCGGGTATGTCTGTTATTTATATGCTAAACAGTCGAAGTATGGTTACAAATATAACTCACCACTTTAACTCAATAAAGTGATGAGGATGCTGGGAAAGTGTGCATTGATATTGCATTTCTTAAATTTAAGATAGTTATCATTATATAAAAAAAAGATAAAGGGGTACGTATCCTTGTAGAGACACACACCAGAGGTTCTTAGAATACGTGCGCACCCTTGACTAAATAGAGAAAAAATTTAAGATAATGGTGAGGATGGTACTTGGGAGTCTTTGGAACTGTACTAAGTGTTTGCACACAACTTTGATTCCATTGGTTTTCTCTACTTGTCTGAAGATCCTAGCATTTTCAATTAATAAAAATGATTGCATATTTTGATTGCAATATTGTTCGTTCTTAACTATGGTTATTACCTGGCCTTTGTGATATCATGGTTGCTCGATTTAAGATTTTTTCTCCACCACTGTTGCTGTTTTTTTTTCTTTCACCAACCAATATGAGCTTCAAAGCCTACGATGCAACCTAAATGGAATCTCTCAGAAAATGGTTTTTATTATTTTTGTTGTTGTCCATTTAGGCAGATGCTGACACACAATGCTGATTTTTCTTTGTGCAGACAGAAAGGAGCGTGGATATGCTACTGCATGGCAAGAAGCCACTGGTTGAGGTAAACATTCTACAAACCATGTATCATGTTTGAGATGTGTCATATTCAGGGATAATTTTGGTGGTACGAGTAGATAATAATATGATCTATAGAAAAGTTAACTAGGACCGGTCATTTCAGTTCTTTCTGTACCTATATTTCTTGCTTGCTTTACCTGTAAATGTCATTTTGAAGCATGACATATTGACATCTTAAGTCTTAACTACTGCACTAGCCGCTATCTTTATTCGAACTGTGTAATATACAAATGTTGAGTCTATACTCTATGTGGTCCAGTGCAGCTTGCTTAGCAAACCTTTAATTTCCAATGGTCACAGGTCAGGAGAAGGGATAATGAGTTTCAGGTTGTAACTGAAAGATGGGCAACATATGATGGCGATGGACTCTGAACTCGAAACCCACTCATCATAATTGCTTCTATCAAAGCTCATACTGTGGTACTTGAGGTTTCTGTGGACAAGTGTTATCTATACTACCAAGCCTCTTGTTCTGAGGTGGTACAGTACAGACTGATCCTAATCCAAAAAGTTTACAATGTTGTTATCCTGGTGAAGTTACTGATGCCTTCTTCTTAATATATAATGATACCCAGCTCTCCTGCGTGTTCAAGAAAAAAAGAAGTTGACACTGCCCATTTTGGTGAGTATGCAATCCCCACCATGATAGATCTTATATCAATGGCATGGCCAATTTTTAGCTGAATTTGGACATTTTGGTTGAAATAGGTTATACCTAATGTTTGAAGCTTTACTGGCTTTTTTTTCCCCTTTTGGAGGAAATTCTGTTTCTGACATGGATGGAACCTTATTACAGTGGATTGCATGGGTGAACATTTGACTGACAACTATCCCAAGCTTTGCGCCTGTTCTTTCACTGAAGGCAGCCCATGAAGCAATTTTGACATTTACTTATATTAAGATAATGCAGATAACTTCACACTAATTGGATAGAAGGTCCTGCTTATTTCTGTATCAGGTACTTTTTAGCGCTCGAAAGTTGATGTATAAATTTGAATGTATATGTTTTTCATGTAAGAGAAGGAACCTAATGTATGTCAGTGGTTCTAAATTGTATGAGATGTGTACATATATACATATCCTTATTGTTCCTAATATCTACTCATCGACCTTTTCCTTTTTTTCTATTTTTCCCATTATTTTTTTAAAAAAATTGGTGCACTGAGGTCCTCTATTTTACTATGTATGTGAGTATTCAATGTTTTTTGTATGTGTTCAATTGTGCATGCAATATTCTCAGTTTTGCAAGCGATTTTTATACATTACTGTTCGTTCAAAAAAAATTAAACATTACTGAGAATCCAAAGTTTTTTGTTCTTACTCAACCCCCAACCCCATCCACCCCCGCGAGAAAAAAGGTATGGTTGAGATGTCTTGTTTTTGGATTTAATAATTTTTTTAGCTCATTGGCCCTGTAATTTTTGTACATTGTCTGACTTGTTTATATGTTCTCTAATTCTTAATTGCACGATTTTTATAAGGGTTCCTACATTTTCTGACTTTTACCAATTTTTTTATTGAAAACATCTTTCCTTTAGTTTTATTGACGCTTGAAGCGCTGTGTACTTTCTTACCCCTACAACTCTTCATGGTGATGGTGTAACCCAAATTCTTGTTGGTTTACATATTTTTGTTACCTAGAAAATGATCCCAAATGTATCCATGGACGAGCCTTTTGGGCCCATAATATAAGTTGATTATGGTTCAGTTCAGGGCTCGATCCACAAGCAAAAAAGGGACGGGGAAGGCTTGTGAGCTTTCGTGCAGTTTTGAAAGTAAAAGAGAGGTGTAAAAGAGTTGGTTTCCTTCCTTTGAAAAAAGAGAGTTGGTTTTCAGAGTAAAAATGGCATTGCATCTGATGAAAGCTAGCTACAATCGTTGGTTGCTCTTCTCTGAATTCTGGACAGTCATTGAACTAGCAACATGCATCGCCTGAAGGCTGAAGCATTTTGGTTGTACCTTGTTTCTGACATCTGACATTCTTTTCTGCAGTGCGTTTGTTGGAAACCCTGCATCCTGTTTACCATAATGCCAGCAAGCAATGTGGTGATCCCAGTAGTGTTAGGTGAGGTGCAAATGTGAACTCTGAACACCTGATTTTGGTGCATCAGCACTTCAGCAGTGCTGGGTGTGGGTGGAATGTCAACAGCTCTGATGAGCACCTGATTCTTCAGCATTAGCATGTGGTGTGGAAGGTGCTCACATGAAGGGGAAGGGTATATAATCGACGGACATTTTTTTTTTTTTTTTGAAATTTTGTTTCTGGTTTTATTGCAGATAGAAGAGAAGGTGTATGTGGGGCATGCATGGGGTGCGTGGTTAGCTGAGCGGTTGACATCAGGGAGTAACTGCCATTGATACATTTTGCAGCAAGAGATAAAGAGGCTTTCCTGGCTGGCCAAGCCAAGCGTGTTGCCTTGCCGGATCGGATGGTTACTGCAGTTGTAGTGATGGGGTGGCAACAGCATCTGTCCTCGGCGTGGCAGAGCCTCACATGCATGCTTGTGATGCTCTGGGCTGTGGCCTGTGTATGCATGGCTGCAGATGCATGCCTGGTATGATTCTTCAGTTGTACTCCTCTCCTTTATACCAACAACAACAAAGGGGATTGGATTATTAGGGGAAGAAGGGGTCTCGCGCGCTCGGTGTTTTGTTCCTTCCTTGTAGTCCACTCCTAATAAGCTGGAGCTGTGGAGGGAGATTGTTGAGAGCGCATGCACGCAGTCAACTGTGGACGCACATGCATGCGCGCACACATCATCATATCATCAGCGGGAAACGGAAATGACTCAGATGATTCTTTAGCACTATATATAGTAATAGGATGCTTCCTTAGAACCATGCAATGTTTGATTATGTGCCATCAGAAGGCTTGTTTATGTCTGAGGTTGGCGCGGCAGAGCCTCAACTATATATATACTAGCTTTGATCACAAGCGTAAGAGGGAGTAATCTGTTGCCTGTTGGGAACAAGTTGCTGGTCACTAAAACATCGAATGTTTCAGTAGTTACTTAGTTGCAGTCGTACGTACTTGTTTACGGACAAAAAAAAAAGGGGCAGGGAAACAGTGATTGATCTGTTTCGTGTGAGTGATTGCATGGCAATGGCATGCATGAATGTGAAGTGGCCATCGAGAGCTCGAGGGAGTTTGTTGCAGGGCAGGTAGGAGGCTAGTGGGGCGTGTGCTGTGCTGTGTCACTCACAACGTTGGCTTTGGCCGAGTCTCACTCCGCATGCCGATGCCCCATGGCCATGCAGCGGGTGAGTGATACGCGCGGCGGTCCCCTTGGCCATCCAAATATTATATTATATATATCCACGTCACGTGCAGCAGGAGCACTGCCTCTACGGCTCTGCATGCGTGCGTGATGGCCTGCGATCACGCAAAGCGGAGGAACATGCACGCAGCAGGGACTCCTACCATAGAGTGGAGTACGTGCCAGAGTAGAGTAGTTGATGTGATCACACGTGCGTGCGCCAGGCCCGCACGCGTGGCATCCGGTCTCCGGCCCCGCCTCCGATCCGTCCGTCCGTGCACCCACGCGCCGGCATGGTGCCGAGGGCCGTGCACCCCAGGCACGCCGGCACGGCCCGACATTTAGAGGCCGGCCCGACGTCTGGTGCGGCCTGCTAAAATTCCCCACGCCCACAGCCCAGCTTTGATAAAGTATTTTCTATAAACATAGTTAAACTACTTTTTTTTTATTTTGTTTAATTTTATATGTTTTTTTAGACGGGGGAGGCCCGGTAGGGAGTATAGTTTTCTCGTTTATTTTATTTATTTCTAACGTTAGGAAGTAAATGGACCGTGTAAAGTGTACAGAGTAAAGTAAAGCTGCTGCAATGGAGCATTTCTCCTCCTGCCATGGATCAATCAACGTGTGAGCAAGCAAGCAAGTACTACTCCGACTTGAATCTGATTTCCGATGCCTTGCCGTGGCAGCAACCACTCCGGCCGCGCACATGTCGCATGCGCCCGTGCCTGCCCTGCCTCTGTCTGGCTTCCATTGCAGCGGCAGCAGCCAGCTCGATCGCCAGGACGCCATGGGGCTCTAGGCTCTCACTCATCGTCCACCTCCGTCCGAGGGATGAACCCGGATGTTAAAAGATGTTTTATGGCAAATAGATATATTATCTTTAAAATATAGTAGAATTCGAATTCGAGATATTCGTTTTGTATTCGTATCCGATAATAATGTATTCATATCTGGATTTGAATTAAAATGTGATAAGTCGTGCAATCCGTGTTCGATTTTAGACGGATCCAATCCGTATCCATCCCTATGTGATCGGCGCAGCTCCAACTACAGGAGGCTGCATCACAGGAGAGTACTAGTAGCTGTGTACCCCAACATCAGGCGGCATCACAGGAGTAGTAGCTCTGTACCTTTGCCCCGTTGAGGCGTTGAATATATTGGCAAGACTACAAAAGTACACCTTATATTGGTTCACCCTAGCCTCGGTTTGGCTGGGTGAAAATATATAAGGATTTGTTTAGACGTAGATATTATTGAATGACTGGCACTGAATTGGGATTGGGATGTTATGTCTCATATGCAATGAGCTCCTTTAACTCTATTTCTCCATTAATGTTTGAGCCTAGTCTCGTAAAAATCTTTTATATATATATATATATGCCGTGACTATGGTAGAACTTAGTACTCAAAGTTGTAAAGCGATACAGAGACAGGTAATACGATAGTGAGCATTCTTTCTGTAATTGGTATGAACAACTACCGTACTGATGTGTACTTCCTCCGTCTACAAAAGAATGCAATCCTCGTTTTTCGAGAAGCCAAACAATTTGAACTTTGACTAAGGCCCTGTTTAGTTCCCTCCCAAAAAGCCAAATTTTTCAAGATTGGCCCAAACCAGGCGTTACATCGAATCTTTTCAAGCGACGCGGGATATGCCAAGCCGGGCCGCCAAGTGAAGCAAGATTAAATATAAATAAATAAAACTAATCATACTTACAAGGGCATATTTTGAAAAAATTCAAAAAGGCTAAAAAAAAAAAATTCGGTGCATCCTTAACCTAAAATGAATAGACATCCGCTCCTGGATGTATTTGTATTCAATTTTTTAAGCTGATTCTACATAGTATTAGATTACATCAATTGGACACTAATTGCATCTAAAACATAATAACTAATTGGTAATGCAATTATATCAATTTTAATAAAACAAAACGCAACATTGAAACTATTTAAAGTCATTTTGCTATAATTATTAAAAAATTCAAGGTTAATTTTAATATGACTAATCATATTAATTTTAAACTTTAAAATATATTTGGTCCTAAATTTCTAGTTTTATGATAAAACTACCAACATTCATAATACAAAATAAGTATCATTAGATTAGTTACATAATATATTTTCATAATAAATTTATTTGGAAACATAAATAATGTATTCATATCTGGATTTATTTACTATAAACTTAGATTTCAATTTGACCGACCCGGATCCTATAAGTACTAAAAGATCTTAAAAGCACTGTTTGAGATGACATGTTGGCCATCCGGGGGAAAAAAAGAGAACGCTGCGAGAAAGGAATTCCAGAAGCCACTCCTCAACTAGCTGAGCACTACATGCATTAAAGCTCTTTTACGTGGTAGTGGATGACTACTTATTAATTAAGTTTTCTACTATGTGCGCACATATATATGCCTTGACTATGGTAGAACCTCCATACAGAGACAGGTAATACGATAGTGAGCATTCTTTCTATGTACCGTACTGCTTTTGAGAAGCCAAACAATTTGAACTTTGACTCAGTTCCCTACTAGTGTATCTATGGACTAAGCATTAAATATAAATAAAAAAAACTAATTACATGTTTATCTCTAATTGCCAAATAACATGTCATTTTGCCAAAAAATTCGCAACCAAACTGGCCCTAAATTTCTATGAAAAACTACCAACATTCATAATACAAAATAAGTACACATAATATATTTTTATAATAAATTTACATAAGGTTGCCACTGTTTGAGATGACATGTTGGCCATCCGAAAGGAATTCCAAATCAAATGAGCACTTGCAACATGAACTTTCATATTCAAGTGACTATATGTGGACTAAGTACATGTTTATTGTGAAACACATTATCACATAAGGTTGCCTCGACGAAAACCAAAGGAACTCTATTCAAGTGACATGTCTTGTGTATAGTGCTCCTGACTCTTGTGTATCGTGCTCTTCGGTGGAGGGGCCAGATGAAGTGTTCGTGTGCTAACACACTATAGATGACGCCTGACTACAGGCTAAAGCTGATTTTTGGCCCGCCTACGTTGAACGACTAGCTCCTAACCATTATGTTGACCGTAATTCGTGTCTAACACTACACTACCCAAGTGAACCAAACACTAGCAAATTTGATAGCTTGTTTAGGTTTTTAACACCAATGCAATTCTCTAAAGTGACCCACCAAAAAAATGTGACCCTACCTGAGCAGGCAATCTCCAGCATTTGAAAGGTTACTCTACTGTTAAGAAAAATCGTTTTTCACTTTTCATAACACTTTGCCTATTAGTATTTTCTTGATCCCATTTATTAGGATATACAGGAATAACAGAAAATAAGACTCTGGCAGCCTAGTACATATTTAAGAAAACTCCGTACAGATTCCGTATGTGTTGTTGGTGTCTGTAAAGTCATTTCCGTCGTGGAGAGCAAATGCTACTGCGCTGCGCTAGCACTAGTGCACTAGCACCGTCTCGTCTCGTCGGCAGTCGTCACCAACCTCCGTTCAGCGTCGCCATGATTAAGCATGCTTGCCTGCCTTTCAGACAGCACGATGGAGCACGTTCGGAGAGAGAGGTAGGCTCTGCTCGCCCCTTGCCATCGCCAGGTTGCCAACCAAGACGACATACACGACACTGTAGCTAGGCTGGTGCAGGCAAGGGTAGTAGCTTTCCTTTAAATCCCTGGCCTTTTTGGCGTTGCATAGTGGCATCGGGGCTGTAGAAGCGAGAGCTTGACAGCACGGCGCAGCACAGCTTTGCTGGGGGAGTGAGAGTAGTCTACTGCTCCTACATTAGATTAGATAGATAGATAGACGGGGAAGGAAGTTTGGATCGGATTGGATTGGACTGGAGACTGGAGCTGGAGCAGCACCGTGTGTGCTGTGATATGAACACTACTCCTAGTAGTCTGACTAGGACTAGGAGACTCTACTCTAGCGTACGTGGCGCTGTGATCTGATCTCAGGTGATGACTGATGAAGGAGGGAGGGAGGGTGGGCAAGGCCAAGGCATGCATGCATTGCAGTTGCAGGGGGCCCAAAGACATTCTGGACTCAGATTATTGCCAGGCAAACTGGCAAACCACAGCACCAGTCACCAGATGGGGTCCATAACAGCCCGGGTCCAATCAGGCAGCCGATTCAGATCTAAATAAACTGGACCTGCTCCCACCCACTGATACTTCCTCATACTCCATGGTTCTTGCCCATGCATGCATGTGTTGCTGCTCCCTTCAGAAGCTGCATTACTTGGGTTTTTCAGGCGCGGAGATTCTGGTGTTTGGCGAGGAGGGATGAGAAATGTGACTTGTTCTTTCTTGCTCCCCTTCCTTGAGACAAGAGGTAGGAAGGAGGAGCAACTGAAAGCCCTTCCTTGAGACAAGAGGTAGGAAGGAGGAACTGAAAGGGGAAAAAAAGTTTTTTTTTCTTCTGAAAAACAGACAGTGGCTCTTCTGATGAAAGCAATATTGAAATGAGGCGTGAAAAAACCTGTGAGGAAACCCTGAAATTCAGTCTCATGCTGAATTGCTGGTGGCCAACCAGCCAGAGGGTTGAGCTCCCCCAAACAAAACCAAACCAAATCGAAAGCACTAATAATAATGCTGCTACTAGTGTCCACTGCACGGCAAATCTTGTTGCATTACAGGTTGCTGGTTGCACACACCAGTAGTCCAGTCCAGTACACCGCAGCACAGCACGGCATTAAGTGGCTATCCATTTTGGGATCGCCTCGCCGCTCGCCACATGCTCCCCTGCCCCCCTGCACGCCCACATCTCCTCCCCCAGGCCCCAGCAGCTGCCACTGCCAGCACCACCAATAATTCAGGCTCCGGCCCAAGCCAGATTGCATAGCATTTGCATCTGTGTGACTTCTTGTTGCCAGCACCGTCTCTCTCACCAATCATTAGCCTAATCCGGTCATAAATTACTAGATTCTTTCGGTTCCAGGCCTGCTAATATTAAGTAATAACAACAACCATGCACGGCAGCCAGGCATATCAGATCACCAGCTGCTGCAGCTGTTGATCAATCACTAGGACTAGTATAGTAATCAGTAAAGAAACACCACAACAACAGTAGCATGATGAAAGGAACAACACATGAGCGGAAGAGTGAGTGATTCTCAGTCTCACCTCCCACAACACCAGTCACTCGAGCACTAAGCACTAGCAGGCAGGCACCAATAAGTCAGGGGGCACCAAGAACAAGAGCAGCTACAGAAACGAAGAAGAAGAAGAAAACGAAATCCATGGAGACTCAGCATCAGTTTGGTTGATGGATGGATGCAACAGTGGAATGCAATGCAGCTAAGCTATAGCTAGATTGATGAGATCAGCAGCAGATTAACAAAGAAAGAGCTTCCTATGCAAGGGTGAAGTGGCCGTCGTCGTCATCAGTGAATCAATCAGCATTAGACTCTTGATCAATGTCGTCCCCCCAGTCCTGGCAGTGGTTGGTTGGTCGGTCACTCCAGCCGCAGCTGCGGCGGCGGGCTCCGGCTGGGGCTCCGTCCGGTCCCGCCGGGCTCCGGGAGCGGCATGCCGAGCTGGCCGCCGTGCGGCCCCTGCGGCTGCGGGTCGCCGGAGAGCCCGTCGTGGCCGCGCCGCGCCAGGGTGTGCTTGTTGTTGTGCATCCACACCTTGAGCACGCGCCGCTTCACGCCCACCTCCTGGCAGAAGCGCTGCACCGCCGCGTCGTCCAGCTTCTGCAGCCGCCAGCCGGCCTCCTCCGCGAAGGCCAGCATGCGGGCCTTCTGCTCCGCCGTGAACTTGGTCCGGAACCGCTTCCGGGCCGGCGGCTGTTGCCCGTGCCCATGCGCCGGCCCCGGCGCGTGCGCGTCGTCGGACTCCGCCGACGCCGAGCTGTGGTGCTGCTGCTGATGGTGCATGGCGCTCAGCGGCATCACCATGCGCGTCGGCGCCGGGGGCAGCGCCGCCACCAGCAGCCCCCGGTGGTGGTGCGCCGCGGCCAGCGGGCTCAGCGGGTGGTGGTGGTGGTGGTGCCCGTGCAGCTGCCGCGCGTCACCACCCCCGCCGCCGCCGCCCGGCCGCTCCTTGCGGTGGAAGTTGCGGTGGCACCCGCACGCCGAGCACCGGAGCGCGTCCAGCGACCCCTCTTCGCCCGCGGGCATGAACTCGCCGCACCCGTCCGTCGCGCTCCCGCCGATGGCCGCCGCGTGGTTCTTCAGGCACTCGCGGTACCTCACCCCTGCCCCGCCGACTCCGCCTCCTGCGCCGCCCACGGGCACCACCGCCAGCTGCCGGTTCTTGGCCTCCTCGGCCACCACGTCCGGCGGCGACATGTGCCGGCCGTTCGCGCCATGGTTATGCTGCTGCTGCGGATGCTCGTGGTGCCCGTGGTGCAGGCCCAGGTACGGCGAGCCTCCGCCGCCGCCGGCGGCGTGCATTGCCATCGGCAGCTCGCCCTGCGTCCCGGAAAGATCCATGCTTTGTTGCTCACTTCCTCCGCCGCCGCAGCTCCTGTTCCGCGCTGCAACAAATCTGCAATGGCGCGCGCGCGCACACGCACACAACAAACAATTGAAATAAACAAAACAAACTAGCAGCAGGAAGGTGGAGTGAATGCCAAGACGACAGCTTGGAGGTTCCAAGCAATGATGAATCAGCAAACAAGAATCTGGCATGCCTTGGGACGTTCAAAAAGTGAAAAAGGAAGGAGAGAAAAGAGAAAAGATTGATTCTTGGGGAGTGAGAGAACAAAAAGTGCTGAGGTTTGTGGACCTTGCGGTGGCCTTGGGATCTTGCAAGAAGATAACAGTTGCAAACTCCAAGATGGGGTTAACTCCTCAACTGCTAGTACTCCTATGTCTCAATGTCTCTTGGGCTCCTCACCATGGCCATGCAGAAGAAGATCAGCAGTAGTAGAACTAGAATGGTAGAGGAGGATGGATACAGATACAGTGGCTGCTCTCTGCAAAGGCTTTGCATTCACACCACTCCTACTTGCTTTCTCTTGTGTACTCTTCAGCACAGAGACAGGCATGGACCAGCCTTTCACCTCTACTCCTGCTCTCCTACTCTAGTATATGTTAAACATTCTTTGCTTTTGTTGTGAGAAGAACAGCGTAGAAACAAAGGGGAGGGACAAGGTGAAGAAGAGATGGAACAAAAGAAACAAACAAAAATGAATGGTGGTAAACAAACCTTGTGGCTGCCTTGTCAAACCTTGGCCTCCATTGCTGGAAGAAAACCACCTTGTGGTCGGCCTACTACAAACTACTGCAAAGTGGTAAGGAAAATACAGGGAAAATGTCAAGGTTTAGAGGCAGTATAGGCTATGAGCTAGATATGCATGGCCAATGGGGGGAGAGCTTGCTGTATGTCTCTGAGATGTGGTGTCTGGTGTGTAATAACAGGATGAAATAAGAGAGGGGATGTAGCAAGAGAAATACTCCAAGCTTTCTGCTGCTTGCTTTGCTTTGCTTGCACTGTCAGGAATCCAAGCTTGTTTCAGAGAGAGAGCGAAGGGGGGCGGGGGGGAGGCGCGCTGTAGCCAGTGGCCTTGTGTGATGTGTCAGAGCTGTACTACTGCAATGGTGAGAAGAGGGCCAGAGCTACAGGAGCTGAGCGCGTCCATGGATGTCCCCACCCATATTTTTATTTTATTGATTGAAAATATTTAGAATAATGAGTGTTTTGTTCAGTTCCTTTCTCCTCTTTCCTTTCCTGTTTTCTGAGAAAGGGATCGGCTAGAAAACGAGTTTAAGCGCATTTAATTCTTTTTGTGCGCATTCGCAAAAGAAAACACACACATTATGCTGCATGCTATACTTTCTTTCTGAAATAACTCGATGCGTTTTATCCTGTAAATTTGAGTGTGGAGCATGGTTCATGATTCCTTCTGTCCCATTCTCTTTCCATCTGGAATATACAAAGAAATAACCTTGTGTAAATTCAGAGAAATGGTTTGTTTTGCTTGTATTTATCCCTTGTATATGGTATCCACAAGTATTTATAGCTAAAAACCGTCTATTATACTTCCCCCCCTTTGTTTTGGTGTACAAATATCTTGTTTCCATGGTTGAGCAAATTTATGCAAACATTATAAGTCTATATAGTTAATAATATTTGTATACTATCTCCATCTTTTCACTTGAAGAATTGCTACTATCAAATTCTTTATGCCTCCCCATGAAAAACACTAGAACGGAAACTGAAGGTCGCACCAGCAAAGGCAAGTTCTTGACCAATATTTTCCTGCCACCTGTGCTGAAGCTCCCAATGGAAGCTGCTTTTGGGGAGTCAAACTTGTCCAGAACAATGGGAGCAAGAATCAATCTAAGCAAAATCACAGTTAGAATATAAATATGAGTATTAGATTAGAGTAAACGGACACTCCGTCAGGGACATGCCCAATAGTTTTAATTTGCACCACATGTATCCCTGTCACTCCCAACAGACTCTTATCATTTAGCAATTTGCGCATTATTTGAGTCATCAATTGCTGTATGGGCCTTGTGCAGAAAAAAAAAATCCAGGTCCACTAATCCTAGCTTTAGTTTGGATCATGTGCAAAACCCTTGGCTTTCCTGATGGTGAAATGTGTGGTGGCTAACACTGTCTACTCACTGCACAACATTCTTCTGCTTGTGAAGAAAATTGACAGGAGGTGGGGATTACAGTACAGATCTGTGCCGTTCAGTGGGGTATATATATGGTGCTGTATTTACTAGTGACATTTAATTTTGCAGCTGCTGGGTCAGTGAGAGGCTGAGAGCTAGCTCATTTGAAAGGCTATAATTCCACTTGACTTTCGAAACAAGTTGTTAGAAATTCTTGTGCTAATCCATTATATTCACTCCAAAAGGGTACGGAATTGTAGTTCATTTTGGTTTTACACAAGTAGCTAAATCTAGAATGATGGTTGTTGCATCATGAAATTGAGTCTTGCACAAAGTTATCTAGTGCGACAATAAACACAAGGTGACATGAATGAAAACAAGAAACATGGTAAGCCACAACTCATAACTATAGATGGCCATATGGCTCAAGGCCCATGGGGGGCCCATGGCCTGCCATTTTGGCTCAGCCCAGGCACGACACGGCCCGATGGTCGTCGTGCCCGTGTTGGCCCAGGACAATGGGAGGGTTATGACTAGGTCGCTCCCTCGGTATGGCATGCAATCCTGGCCTACTCTATTGAGATAAAATCCATTACAATTCTTGAACCCTTGTCAATGCCCACTTGCAACCGCCCATTTCTCAAAAAAAAAAAAACTACAGCTGCCCCCACCCCTCACGCCCATTGTCCTTTCCACCCACGACTCCCCTCCCCGTGACATTCCTCCCTTCCATCTCGACCTCCGCCTTGTCCTCCCTTCGCGAATTCCACTGCCGCTACCGTCCTCCACTACTTGAAAGTGGCAATGCAAAGTGTGGCCCTACCTGTGATTGCAGAGGCTTGGGCGGATGAGCATCTTCCGCAACGCGAGTGGCATAAGGAAGGTGCATCGTTGGCCGCATGATCGAGCGCCGGCAACGCGTGGCCTTTCAATGTTGTGGCACGCAAGCAGAGCATGTCGTGATCGCCGCCCGAGTCTTAAAGGGTCGTGCCTGTGCCTGAGGGGGGAAGCCAGTGGGCGGGCACGACACAACCTGCTAAACCAGCTATGTCGTGTCGGTCCGATGCCTAACGGGTCTGCCTTAGCAGACATGAGCCGTGTTGGGCTAGGCGACCCGTTTAGCTATCTATAATCACAACCAAAAGGAATATATGGAAGATGTGTATTTTTGTTTGCCTTTATTTCGTAATTACCAAATCTATAACAAAGATAGAGCTGGGATTATATGTCATGTTCGCTTGACTGATAAACCATGGCTGAAAGTACTGTTGGCTGATTTGTTGTGAGAGAAAAATACTATTCGTTGGCTGAAAAAGTACGGCTTATAAGCCAAGCGAACAGGGCGGAGTGAATTTCTAAGATGAAAACTACTATCACTTTCTTCTAGCTTTGCAAGTGCATCCAAATGCTCATGCATGTAAGATGCCAAATTGGAAATAATGTTGAACCTATCATTGTTAGAATTAGATTCTCTTTGAGGGAGAATAGAAGGAAAAAAGGAGGGGGGGTCCTAATCGCTTGTGATTCCGATGAATATATAAAGTTTCTCGATCGTCATGCAAAGTGCACAAGGAATGATCTTTAAGGTACATTAGTACCCTCCTTTATCTTTCTATCACCTGAATGTCCACTGGATCGGCTAGAATGTTCGGTGGGTCTTGATGTTAGAAGGCTGGATGGATCGATCGTCCTGCAATCTCTCTCTCTCAAGGATATAAAAAAGATGCATGGATGATCCGAGCGCTCCTTTTTATAATCCAACACGAATTTGGCTTGCAATCATTTTGCGTTATTCTTGCTTTCGGTTTTTGTTTCTCCTCATCTATCTGATCCTTTGCATATCCACATCACTTTATTCTTGAATACCTTGCAGCCGGTTTGCTTTATTCTTAGGCTAAAATCTAATTCCAGTGACCTTTTGGTGCCATCCTTTTGGTCCTGTGCTAATTCTTTTCTTAGTCTTTGAATTTTAGCTTTTTTTTATAATTTCTTTGAATTGTAGTTGGTGCTGGTCTCCTGATGACCAAGAGTATTTGACACAGATACTAAATGATTAGGGGGAAAAGGGTACATGAAGGAGGTCATGTATGATAACGAATAGTGCTCACAGAAACAATTTCCCTGCATTATTATTTTTTATCAAACACTCAATTTCCATGCATATTATATTTTTCATTTTTAAAATGATATGTTAGAAGAAAAGTTGCTACTGCCATTGTTCCCAAAGTTTATTAAAAGTTTTATTACCATTAATAATCTTATTAAAAGTAAGAATTATTGGCTAGCTATATGAAAGTTACACTGCTGGATTTTGTTTTTGCCTAGAAATGCTTTAACTGAAGTAACTTTTTTTTTACCAAATTACATTTCGAACATCGTTTAAAAAAACGAGGACAGTTCAAAATAAAAGGATGTTTGAACATAACTCCGGCCAGACCATCGCGGACAAAACCCCTGCGCCTTTGGATGCATGGACGGCTCTGGTCCCGCTGCTGGACCACCTGATCAGGTGTGCCCCGCTTGAGAGAGAGAGGTCAGAGCTAGATGCAGCAAGAGTGCATGCATGCACGCACGCACCATTTGGTTCTAAATTCTGCTGTAATCCCTAATTCTAAGCTTGGAGATCCGAGTCGTGTTGCCGCCCCGAGCCTCAAAAGAGGAGCTTCTTCCTCCAACATCGCCAACGCCAATCATGCATGTGTGTGCCCTACATGTTGCGTGTTTTGCTCTGCGGCCACAGGGACCTCTGTTGCCAACTTGCCATGCATGCATTGACCTGGGGAAGAAAATGAGAATAAAAAGGTTTGTTTTTTAGTTTTTATATTATATCT